TTGAAGATAAAGTAATCGGTTAGGCACAAATTCTTACATTTTAGCTATTTTCTTTTTTAGATTTTCTGTTCTGGTAATATCGTGCAGCTATCTAGTAAAGTAAAAGTATTAACCTTACCTGGGTATATCGGGTAGGATTTTATACCTGGATAAATCTGTTGATCACCCGGGTAACCCGCCGGGTATACCCGTCAGATAACCGGATAGCATTTTTTCAATCAGGTACCATCACTAGTTTTGACATATACATTCTAATTTATTAGAATATAAAAAAAGTTTCTGAATACTTACGTGCTATTGCCGATTGCCCAACAAGATGGAATTCCTCATATCTCGCATGGAATAGGCTCCTTAAATTAAAAAACTATATTAATTTTCTTGTAACTTTACTTTCAACCAAATCTGATTTCGATACTAAGAAAGATCTTAAATATTTAAAAAAAAATTTACTTTATGATGATAAGTGGGATACAATAAATGATCTAGTAGAGATTCTCGAACCATTCGCCAAGACCACTGATTATTTAGGTGGAAGCAATTATTGCACCTATTCAATAATAGTTCCTATTTTAATTGAACTTAAGAAAAAATATCAGCTGTCGATTACTAATAATGATATTATAGTAGAAACTAATAATGATGATGCCCAAGACTTATTTGATGATGATATAAGTGATGAAGAGGAATAAAAAGATGAACAGGCTTATACACCAATTAATATTGATCTTGACGAAGTTAAAAGTAATTTATCTAATGCAATAAATCACTATTGGCCCGATTTAACATCACCAAGTTCGCTTTTGCCTAGTCTTCTAGATCTCAGATACAAAAGTCTATCTTTTGTTACATTTGCTGAACGATTTGCTACTGAGAATCTACTTCATGAAGAGTATAATGAAATGAAAAATTCTATAAATAAAGAGGAAAAAAATGGTAGAACAGAGGTTAAATCAACTACTGTAAAGAAAGCTAAAAGTAGCATTCTTTCCAGTTTCAAAAAAAATATGTCAACTACAGTTGAGAAGATTTCCAACTATTTAAAGCTCGAAAAAATTGATATTGATTGTGATTCTTTTGAGTAGTGGCATGTGCAGTATAATAAATTGCCAGTTATAAGCAGGCTAGCAAAAAAATATTTATCTGTTTTTGCGTCTTTAATAGCTAGCAAAAGGTTGTTTTCTAATGCAGGAAACTTAATAACTGCAAAAAGAAACATATAAGTTCTACGTTATTTAATCAATTAATGTTTTTAAAAAAAAATAAAAAATACTTAGATAGTATTTATCTATATTAATCATTCACTTTTTATTGTATATCATAACTGGTAATCGTCTAATAGTTGGTATTACATGAGATTTTTATTATAAATTCTAGTTGGTTAAAGCAGTGCAAGGTTTAGGGTTACCTTTTTGATCTAGTTATGGTTAGCAGGTTATATAGATATCAAGAATGCAACTTATACAGAATGTAGATCATATATTGAATTCACCCCCTATAAATTAATTTTGATCTACATATAAATATACATAGTACTTTACTGTTGCATTAAAAGATTCGCAGTTAAGTATAGTATTAGTTATTTAGTAATAAGACTTTAGCAGTTGTAAAATATATTCTTACATTGAATTTGAGAGTAAAGACTCAGATCAAGTTGAAATTTCGTTATTAGAGTATATATTAATTATATTTTTATATATTTAATCGTATTAATTTAGCACGTGAGTTCAAAATAATTTAGTATATGATCATAAACTTCATTGAGTTCATTAAGGAAGATACTTGAGAATACCCTTAATCTAAGTATTTCAATGGATTAATATCACACCTCTTGGAAATACACTGAGTGATAGAGAAAATATTTTATATGCCAAATTTAATAGTAGAATGATTGCTATTTTTGTAGCTTGTTTGGTCCTAATATCACAATTGATCTTTAGATATCTGATACATTAATATTGTAATGGAGTTTAAGTAAGGCTACTAATGCATCTCCATGTTGATTTGGTTATTATGCAATATTTTATTTTATTTATATATTGGTGAAGTTAATTCTACTAACTTATCTGATTTTTTTTCATATATACCAATAAATAATGCAAATGCTATCTTTTTATAAACTGATATTCTTAACCTTTATTTATTTATTTATTGTCGCAGCTGATGCTGAAATTTGAACCTATTTTGTTATGAATTTTTATAATATTTTTGGAGTGTTTTATCTTGCTTTTTTTTAGGGTTGGGTTGGGTTAGGATTTAGGAATAGAATTGACAATTAAAAAGTATATGTAGATTCTGGCAGAGCTTATATTTTTAAATCGAGGCCCAAGATTTCAGCATCAGCCACGATATTTATTAATATATTGGTAGTTACTATTTTATAATACAAAACCTGATATATAGACAAATATGGTATGTAATAAATCAATATGATTTTATTACACTTAGCAACTAATAATTTAAACTTAAAATCTAATTAGAGTATATCTGATTTAACGCTTCTTATTCATAGTTATTTCTCAGTGATATTAAGTATGTCATTTAACATTATACTATAAATAAGTATTTTAAGCTTCTGCGGGATTAATCATTTAAATTAAATCTTCTGACAAATGTATTATTAATTTTTGGTGGTTGGAATAATAATAGAGATCTTGGTGATTTGTAGATCTTAAGCTCTGTAATATCTCAATGGTCAATTAGAAGGATCCTAAATTCAATCATGGGTCTAGTTCTTTGTTGACATACTGCAGAATTAGTGGATATCTATATGATCATTGAGTCTGGTATAAATTTAATATCTATGTAGTAATTCGCAAAATCAAATCAAATTTTAAATTTGAAAACTTGCCAGCTTTTATTTGTTCGAGAGGTTCTGTAAATAAAATAAAAATAATTAATACTAAATCTAATTCAATTAATGATTATAAAGAATTTTGATTACAAAAAATGACACATTGTAATAAGACTGGGTTTTAATTAAATGTTGTCTTGAAAATAAAAATTAAACTATTGACAGATGTAGAGAATATATCGACACTCAACCTCTGAAAGGAAAAAAAAGATAAGTATAACTCTATTCTTTTTGAACTAATACGAGTAGAAGAGCAAGTATAAGATAATGAAGACAGAATTGAGAAATTTGAAAGGTAATTTTTTATAAAAAATAATGCTATGAGTATAATTTGTAAATTAAATTATATAGAATTGTTTAATAAAATATATATACTTTGTATTATACAAGTAACTTTTGATATAAG